TTTCTCCGTGTACACCATCATCTAAAAACTAATTAAAGTCCAGTGGATAATAGAGATGTGGAAGTAATGTGTGGATGTGCACTCGCAGGCTGTCAGTGACAGGCAGAAATCATAATCTGAGTAGGTGAAGACAAGTGATTACTCACCTTAAGCAAACAGAGTGTGACATGTCATTAAGAGACTGCTGACACAGTCTTCAACTTCAGCACCTCAAGGTGCTTTCCAATGAGATGTACTGTTTTCTGCTGAGATTTAACAGCCCGTTTTTAAGTTACTTACAGCTTCAAAAACCAAGTCGCACTCAACTTAGTTTATCGGAGTCACTTTACCCTACCCCTGCACCTAAGGTTTGAAAAAGGAGCCACACTGATGGTTATGTGAAACTACTAAAACTCTGGATATGACATCCATATTGAATGCTAATATCAATCTCAGTGTATGTGCCTACGAGCAAGAGATGTTCCACACTCCGCCGTTTGGCACCCGCAGGTTTATGCAAGAAATGCGCAGCTTTAAATCTGCCAAACTGCTGCTGCTTCAACTGTGAGGAGGAAACAAAGGCTGGGAATTATACCTGCGGGATGGAAAACAACAGAGAGGGGCTGACAATGACGGCGACGAGAGCAAAGAGACAGACGGGAAGACAGACAGGAGAGAGTGACACGAGGAAAACAGGATAATGATCTCTTTAGACTGAGCCCTCCTGTAAAGAGGGAGACAGTCAAAGGATGGCTGTGGAGTGCCACTTACTTCTCAATGAGGTCTAACGTCACCCCTGGCACCAACTTGGCACTCTTCTGCATACAAAACCTGGGGGAAAAAAACACAGGGAAAGGTTAGCGATCAGGGCTGTAATGAAAACAAGAGGGGCTCACAGACAAGACAATGCAATAAAAGCGTTTGGCCTCTACAGCACAAATTTTATGACCAATGAGGGAAACAATCAGCGGATAAACACTCAAATGAAAAACGAGCCCTTCAAAGATTACAACCACTGAGCACTGATAAGTGTATTTTGGCTGAGTTACAGTCAAAGGGGAGGGGGATAAGGCGGCGGGATACACATCGTATTTCTGAAACGCCTGTCAGGGGGGGCGGGGGTTGTTTACTGTGCACGGTTAGCTCCGAGAGGTCGAGCCAGCTGTAAGTCACAGCAGGAAGACGCTCGGAGTCTTGACAGATGCTCGGCTCAACGCTCGGCGATGACTGTGAGTCATCGCACACCTGGCAGAGCGCAGGTGTGCGCACACGAGCGCAGGTGTGCGCACACGAGCGCACGTCAGCCACACAAACATCAGCTGCAGGAACGTTAAAGCAGGAAGGAGATTCACATCACAGCCACACACAAAGATTTCCACGTGACAACTAGTTTATTAATTGTTCTAATTATTAACTCACGTTTTTAATAAAAAGAGATGCTAATAAAGATGAGGACAAGAGGCGAGTCTGTGTTGACATGCACATCGTGCAAAAAGAGCTAACAGTGGTAGGATTAAATATTTGGAAGAAAAAATTTGGCGCACTTTGTGATAAATAAATAAACAAAAAATCAGCTGCTTCTCCACGGAGTCTCTTGTACTACTGGTGGACAGTAGCAGCAGTCCTTACTCTGCTCTGACCAGTAAGGT